TCAATATTTTTTATTAAGAAGAGAAATTTTTTAGGAATTGGGCGAAAAGTTAAAAGTTCAAGATTTTGTTTTTATATATAATATAGATTACACACTACATTAGTTATTGGACACCATCATCATCCAAACTCCAGAATCCGACGAAGCGTTTAGGCGTGAACATGTCCAAGCACGTACTGTCGACATGGAGGCTGCAGAATCAGGTAAGGAATTCGGACTGAGAAGCATCATTATAGAATGTGTTTGATATTGCGGATTAGTGTTTTATTGGGCGTTGCAAAACCACGAGGGAAGGTACTGGTTGCATTGCGGAAAAAAAAGAGCTTGAATAACTTAATATTTGCACCAACTAAATATGAGACATTAGGACTGCAGTCAGATAGTGCCGTAGCACATATAATATTCGTGCACACACTTATGTGCCGTCGTGCATGTACCTGGGGCTCTTTATGACCGTGTTCACTGGAAAAGGGAACTCTGTGTGTGGATTTTTTATGCGTTGGGAAGAAAATTATGAGTTGCAGAATAGTGAGAAACAAAGACTGAACTGAATTATAGGAACACACGAACCCCAGCATGATATGGTGTGCAACGCCTAATAATAGTGTGTGCACCGGCGTCACACAGTACACGACTGAACTGTGGTAAATGGAGAGACAAAGTCTAGCATGATGTGGTGTGCATTGAGTGAAAACTGGTTGTGCACCGGAGACACATATTACATAGTGATAGCATTGCGGTTGATGTATAGATAATTTTTAGTATTTTCTGGTGTCCAATGATCCCGAAAATTGTGTGCGCCTGGGACATATTTGGTCGTTGCACGTTTCAGGACTAAATGCTTAGCCCTAAGTAATAAGGCTAGCTGCCACATTTGTGGCAGAGTGGCAGCGGGCCAAAATTACTTTTTACTTTGTTTATTTATTTATTTATTTTTAATTTTAGGCATTTAGCTATGGAAGCAAAGCTAGTTTATTTCACAAGTGTCCTTACAATTGTTATATCGTGGACTAGGGTCCACAGTGCGCTGTGGACCTTGGTCCAATACACAGAATTCATGTTCATAATGCATATAATTCATATTATAATACACATACATATAAACACGATATAATGAACATGAATTATGTGTATTATGAACATAATTTTTTTGTATTATATAGCTGAGGACACATAAATACTAAACATAATACAAAGAATTCATGTTCATTATATCGTGTTTATTTGTATGTGTATTATGAACATGAATTACGTTCATTACGAACATAAATTCTGTACCTTATGAAGTGAAATTCTGTGTATTGAATCAGGGTCCACAGTGCACTGTGGACCTTGGTCCAATACACAGAATTCATGTTCATAATGCATAGAATTCATGTTATAATACACATAAACACGATATAATCAGGGACGGAGCTAGAAAACTTGAGTTTGGGGGGGGGGGGGGGGGGATGTAGTAGAGAAAATTTACAATGTTAGTCGACATTATAATTAATCGTACCATATTATTATATATACCATACATTATTGTGATTATTATTGATAATAATTTCTAATTATACTATGTGTAATAAAGTATGAAATACATAATTATATGAGTACGATCGACACATGTGTCGATCATTACTTTATAAATTTTTCACATAATACAAAATATAATAACAATAGCAACAACATTTATTAAATATATATTGTCTCTTAACATCAAATAAAAAATTTTGTCAATTATTTTGTCACCAAATTTTTTCATAATTAACTGATATTCATTTTACTGATTAACTGAATATTTCAAATATTGAGAGATAAAGACAAGACGAATTAAACATTCAATATTAATTTTTGTCAATTTCAAAACTAATCATTTAAATTTTTAAACTAGCAAATGTACATCTTAAAAATGTAAATAAATAATTAAAACACACAATAAATCACTAATTAATTAATCAACATAACTAATAAAATCAAAGCATATATCTTTGATTTGGAGATTTTTTAAAATTAAAATGTATACTTGATGCTCTTCGTTATTAAAAATTAAAATTTTGATAAAAGAAATAAGATAATAAAGAAAAATTGTGACTTTAATTATTTGATTTATTTTTTTTATTTAATGAAAAATAGTGAACTTTAATATATATTTTGAGTTCATTTAATATAAACATAATAGATTGTTTTATTTTAAAAAAATTAGAGAGGGGTCAAAAGTATATTTTATCTCTACTATATCAAAATATATATATATATATATATATATATATATATATATATATATATATATATATTTGCTAAAAAATTTAAGGTGGGGGTGGGGTGGGGTAGGGGGGCCAGTGCCCCCTCCTACTCCATAACGTAGCTCCGCTACTGGATATAATGAACATGAATTATGTGTATTATGAATATGAATTTTGTGTATTATATAACTGAGAAAACATAAATATTAAACATAATACAAAGAATTCATGTTCATTATATCGTGTTTATGTGTATGTGTGTTATGGACATGAATTCTTTGCATTACGAACATAAATTCTGTACCTTATGAAGTGAAATTCTGTGTATTGAATCAAGATCCACAGTGCACTATAGACCTTGGTCCGTGATATAAATTGGCGTGTCCTTAAAGCTTGGCCAAGTGGACTTTCGTTTTATGTATTTAACATGAAAGAAAAAAATCACAAAAATAACGTACAAACTCCAATAGGAGTTGCATTTTTTTAACCATAAATACAAGCCCCAATAGAGTTTTTCATAGGGATGTCCAAAATTGAAAAAATATCATATTTTTGTCTACTACTTTAACATATGTCATATTTCAATCAAAACCCCCATCTCTTCTCTTCTAATATTCTCATTTTGTGTGTCCAACTCCTTCAGGACTATATAATTTATTCCCTTATTTTCTCTCAAATTATTCTCTCTTTTCTTTGTGGTTCTACACTTCTACCCATCATCTATTATTTTATTCACTTTACTATTATTATAATTTTAAATTTTAAGTTTAAATCAAAATTTTTTTTTTTTTGAGAATAATCAAAATAAATTTAAACAAAAAATAAAATAAATTTTAAATTATAAAATATAATTTCATAAATTAATCAAACAATAGACTGAAATATATGATAATTTGGAACAGGAGAGGACGATAGTTAGAAGACACAGGGATGTAAAAACTGAAGCTTTTCTGGAGTGCTTCTTCTCCCAATGTTTCATTAAACTGAAAGCCAAATTATCATATATTTCCAAGATGTCTTCTTCACATGCATGGCTGAACTTAAATACACAAACGAAAGGCTAAACAGAACCTATCCTAGAAAATAGGAAAGAAAAACTAAAAGGAACGTTATAGTAACGTTAACAATCAGAAAAAGTAGGAAATGTATATTGAAAATATCCCTAAGCTGCCACCTATTTCTTCCGTCTTTGATAAGTCCTACCAATGAAAGTATCATACTAACATACACACAAGTGCACCAGGTCTCAGATTCAGGGGTAAGAAATGTGGTTCTGTAATTTATATGACAGTTAAGATGGATAATTTCACAGGAACTTGAGGCTTCCCAAAATGATCTCTATTGAAAGGATTGATCGAATTGTCTTTTTAGCAGCAACTTCCGGTGATTCTAATTGGGAACAAGAAAATGGAGAAATATTATCAGCAGTGTGTAGTTATCATAATCTCATCCCGTTAATTCCGAATGCCCTCAAGGTGTTTGATGTACCGCCTCAGAGACCTGGAAATCAGGCATTATTCAACTCTGTGCTGGAGTTCAAGATCAATGAGTTTTTCAGTTTATCTGCTTGCTTCTTTCATTAATTTTATTTTCTACTTTTTGACAGCTAACTAACATTGATTGAAGAAGTAATCATGATTCATGAGCAATTGGATTGAAATGTAGGCTGGCATACAAGTGACCTGTCATGATTGCGTTTACCATGTTGGAAACCACAATCTTACCCAAAGAGCATTTGAAGCTGGCCTCTACCTGTCTGGATTAATGTTTACTTAGATGCCTTACAGGTACATATTTTATACATTACACTAGTTTGCTGTTTTCCATTTCCCACCAGCATATTTTTACTTCACCATGGTGTTAATACCTTTGATAAGATATACTATTCTTTTCCCGGAGTTGAAAATGACAATGCCTGAATAGGAAAATTGACACAATGCTAATCTGCCTTTAAAAGTTAAGAGAATGAGATGTTCCAAAGCAGCTGGCAGTTGGACTCCAGTGTTATTTGAAGATTTCAAATGTTTTACGGTTCCACCCTTCGTGAACTATTCCCAGAATTTCTAACTGCTAAAGTTCTCTGGTCTCTCTGGTAGTCTTTCAATATTTTAGGACTTCTCCTTTCCATTTTGAAAAGAATGAGTTTTGGCCTTCTGTCCCTTCTAATTTTGGATCAAAAGTTCAACATGTTGCCAGTGTCATATATTGAATTTCTTGAAATACTTAATAACTTTATCCTCCATCAAGAAAGAATGGCCCTTCAAGTAAACAAATATTAGGCATTTTGGTTCTTTAATGTTCATGGCAACAGAGAAGCATCATATGAAGTATAATAGTAATTACAAATAAATTGATTGATGTTACTTATGGGAGAAAATGTAATTCTTCTTATGGAGAGTGTAATTTTTCTTATGAGAAAAAATGCGATACTTTTGATCAAATAAAAAAAGTAATACTTTTAAATCAATATGTAATATTAAAGGTCGAAAAATTTCTTATGAGTAAATTCTAATACTTTGAAAATTCTAACTTACGTCATCGATGAGACTCTTACATAGGAAATTTTGTCATTTGAAATACAGGTGGAATTCACAATATACTGAAATTTGTCCCCCTTAATGATTATTATACCGCGTTTTTGTATTTGAAGATTTCAAATGTTTAATTATTCCGACTTTTCAAAAAGTAAAAAAAGTATTCTGACTATTCTCAAATTTGCTGTCAGAGTTTCAGACTTCCAAATTCCACTGAAGTCTCTATTATTAGTTTATTATGGGACGTTTCTCAATAACAAGAAGTCAGGAAACGTTATTATTACATGCACAATTATATAGATGATGCTTATTTCCTAGCTTCTTCATTGTCCTAGCTAGCTAGCTTTTTGCTTTCCTTATTTGCTCCCTCTTGCAATGGGGTACCCCCTCAATCTTCTTCATCTTCTCTTCTCTGGGCTTCTCCTCCTTCCATTCCACACTTGTGCTAAAAACAATAATAATAATGCTACTATAGGTGTTGGCAGCACCCTTACAGCAACTACTACAGCCACCACCAAACCATGGGTCTCATCACCTTCTGGCGATTTTGCATTTGGATTCCGGCAGCTTCAAGCCACTGCAGATGAGTTCTTGCTATGCATATGGTATGCCAATCTACATGAGCGTACCATTGTTTGGCTGGCTAATACTTCTACTGCTGCTCCGGCAGGATCAACTGTGGGGCTTGAAGCTGATTCTGGGCTGATTCTCCGTGACCCTCAAGGCAACAAGCTATGGATGCCTGATGGCTTAAGTGAATTTAGTCAAGTTGATCATGGGTTTCTGAATGATACCGGAAACCTTGTCCTTGTGGGAAGGGATTCTAGAGTGGTGTGGGATACCTTTGCCCATCCAACTGATACTTTGTTGCCCACACAGGAGATGGCCATTGGCACCATGCTCGCCTCTCGACGCTCCGAAGCCAATTTCTCTCAAGGAAGATTCTACCTTCAGATGCAAGATGATGGGAATTTGGTGCTTTTAACCAAAACCCTTCCCCAAAATTCGTTTACTGATAGAAAGTACTACAGCAGCCAGACTTCTGATCCTGCAAACAAGACAAATTCTGGGTTGAAACTGATATTTAGTTCAGATGGTTCATTACTTATACTCAAAAGAAGCAACGCCACGAAAGAACTCTCCCCGCCCCGCTCCAGCTCCCCTGATCTTTATCTCAGACTCACTCTAGACTTTGATGGAGTGCTCAGCCTGTATCGCATTCCAAAGAATAATAATAATTCTGCCGGGGGTAACCAAACCTGGACCTCTATATGGTCCCAACCGGACAATATTTGTTATGCAATGTATTTTGGAAATGATAATTTAGGCGGTGGAGCTTGTGGCTATAACAGCGTGTGCTCGGTTGATGCTAACAAGAGACCATCCTGTGAGTGCCCTCCACATTATTCACTCCTTGATCCAAGTGATAAATATGGAAGTTGCAAGCCGGATTTCGTTCCGCCTACCTGTGATGAACCCCCAGCTGCAGGGAAGGAGAAGGTTTCATATGATCTTATTGAGGTACCTGATACGGATTGGCTGGCTAATGACATGGAAGGCATTAATCCTACTACTAAAGAAGAGTGCAAAATGGCTTGTCTGAATGATTGTTTATGCGAGGCTGCTGTGTTTGCAAAGAATGGGTGCTGGAAGAAGAGGCTGCCAATGTCTAATGGCGTCAGAGACACCAGTAGAGATCTAACAGGTTTCATCAAAGTAAGGAAAGCAGATTTTGTTCCTCCTTTGAAAGAGTTTCCAGCAGAGAAGAAGGATCAAAGAGCTTTGATCCTTGCAGGTTCAGTCCTCTTGGGTACCTCTGTGTTCATCAATTTTCTTCTCATCACTGCAGCCTGTTTGGGGTTCTTCTTCATTTACAAGCCCAAAATCAAGAAACTTACACCTACAAACACCTCATCAGTGCAATCAAATCTGTGTCACTTCTCCTATAAGGAGCTTGTTGAAGCTACAAATGGGTTCAAGGAAGAACTAGGCAGAGGTGCTTCTGCAATTGTATATAAAGGGGAAATAATAATGTTAGTGGATTCCAGAAACATTGTTGCAGTGAAGAAGTTAGATCGAGTAGCTCATGATTCAGGAACGGAGTTCATGTCCGAGGTAACTGCGATTGGCCAAACGCACCACAAACATTTGGTTCGGCTACTTGGCTACTGCAATGAGGAACAACATCAAATCCTGGTTTATGAGTACATGAGCAATGGCACTCTAGCAAGCTTCCTTTTTGGCGATCTGACACCCAGTTGGAGCCAGAGAATCAAGATCGCCCTAGGCATAGCTCGCGGCCTCACTTACCTACACGAAGAGTGTAGCACTCAAATCATTCATTGTGATATCAAACCTCAGAATATACTTCTTGATGATTACTACAATGCCCGAATCTCAGATTTCGGGTTGGCAAAACTTCTGAGAATGAATGAGAGTCGAACCCAAACTAACATTCGGGGGACAAAAGGTTATGTTGCTCCCGAATGGTTCAGAAACAATAAGGTTACTGCAAAAGTAGATGTGTACAGTTTTGGTGTGTTGCTTATGGAAATCATAACATGCAGGAGAAATGTGGAGGATGTAGAAAGATGGGGAGGAGATAAAGCCATTCTTACTGATTGGGTCACAGATTGCTTTCTGGAGAAGAGATTGGGTTTATTAGTTGAAAATGATGAGGAAGCCTTGAATGATAGGGAGAACCTGGAAAAATTTGTAATGATCTCTATTTGGTGCATTCAAGAAGACTCTTCTCTGAGACCAACCATGAGAAAGGTTAGTCAAATGCTGGAAGGTGTTGTTCAAGTTCCTGTTCCCCCAAATCCAAATCCTTTTACTGTTTCTTGCCCGAAATCCCTTGCCCTGGCCCCCACATCCTAGCCCGACAAGATTTGTGGAGGTTGTAAATTATGGTGACTCAGTGATTTATTAGATATGAGGATCGTGTCTGGTGATCACTAGTTAGTTCTGTTTCTTCATTAGTATAACTCTTCTAATTATATTGTGTTGTATCTTTTATGTGACACTGCATTTGGTCTTCTTGGTTAATAAATGTTCTTTCAACAAAAATTTGGTTAATAAATGTTTGATTCTTAGCCAACAAAAATTTACCCTTAGATACAATGCATGTATTGATTGGGTATGAAATTGTATGGTTATGCTATAATAATATTCTTAGAAGGAAATTGTTGGATGCCAAATGGTAAAACTATATTCTTTTTTATATCAATTGCTTGAACTTCTTTGATGTTTTTTTTTTTTTGTTGACAAAATCCACACTTTAAAAGAGTGTGACTCTTCCCATCACATTACAGTCAAAATCCACACTAGAACGCGAATCTACTCTAACTATACTCAAATGGAAGTGTACCCTAGTGAAAATTATACCACAAAATGATCACTTTAAATGTTATTTTAAGCAAAATTTTCAACATTAGTAAAGGGGGTTGGACAGTGGCACATGGTGACATGTGGTGACCACAAGTGGGTGGATTCCTTGTAAAAATTATGCTAACATTTTTGACAAATTTAGGAAGTGCTCTCTTTGTTCAAGTTCACTAAAAACATTATAGTTGAATGATCAAATATAGTAGTGTTGTAGTTTTCAAAAAATTATATATATATATATATATATATATTTCGGATTAGGTGAGGACCTATCCTTAGGTGAGGACGTGAGGACTAATCTGATCCTTTCATTTAATTAAGCCAACGGCTGTGATTTAATTATATGCAATGAATTTAATTTTCGTACTCAGTTTGTTGTGCATTCTTTCTCAGTTTGTTGTGCATTCTGTGTTTGTTTGTTGTGCATTCTGTCCCAGTTTGTTGTGCATTCATAGTGTGATTGTTGTGCATGCATCCCATTTTTTGGGCAGCACGTTTTTGTTGTCGTAGCCTTTAGATCACTCAAAATGGATGATCTGGATTAGTCCTCACGTCCTCACCTACGGATAGGTCCTCACCTGATCCGGAACCTCTATATATATATATATATATATATATATATATATATATATATATATATATATATATATATATATATATATATATATATATATATTAAAGCAAAATGATTGGCACAAAAATTTCCCCCCAAAAAATTTAGTGGCGTTTTTGTAAAACCAAACTAATAATAATAATAATAATAATAATAATAATAATAATAATAATAATAATAATCTCTATAATTAGCATGTGTATATATATAATATAAATAAATGTGTGTAACGTGGGAAGAATAATATATATGTAATATGTATTCCTTTATTATTTTGGAATCAAAATTTATTATGATTGGAAGTTGCCAATCTCTTCCTATGCCCTATTAATGACTATTAAATTATTTCATAAAGATTAGTTTACTACCTATATAATTATGTAGATGAGAATTAAAAAAATTTGTCTTCCCCCTCTTTCCTCCATTGCCATGAACTTTTATACAATATAAAAGTATGGGTAGAATACAAGTAGGGACCTTAACATTTTACGGGTGCTTATGTGTATCTTGTGTTGTTTTATTGATGATGATGATGATGGTTGATAGAAGAGGAGGATTTGAACAATTGAGACTTAGAGAAATTTGGGAAAATAAGATTTCATGGTAAGTGGTTGTTTTCTTTTTACTTTACGCAAAGTATTTTTCTAAGTGGTGGATATGTTGGTTAATAATTATTTGATTGAATGTTTTGGCATATGAAATGACTCAATTGATTACTTAAAAACATTTTTATACTTAAAAAAAAAGAAGTATTTATGAATTATATGGTTAATATGTTTTGCTTAAAAAAAATTATTATTGATTTCATTTAGATTCAAGAAATAAGTGTACAACTATATATAAATTGTATATATTTGTTTATATATATATATATATATATATATATATATATATTGTAATAAGGAAATGCTGGAAGACTAGGGAGGTCTGGGAGCGCCTGATTCCTATCTATAAACGCGTGCAATCGGAATGTGGCGACTTCATGGGGTGGATCCTAGGCAACATTGCAATGAAGTCGGACTGAAGTGCGTTCTTTGCTACAATAACATATCTCGAGAAATTTGTTTCAATTGGGCAAATGGCATGCAATGATTCAATTCTGTGTATTTTTTTACATTAAAGATTTACATTACTTTTTCATATTGTATTTTTATTTGTAAATATGAAATTAATTACTATATATAAAAATAGTCTATTAAAAGGCAGAATATTTATTTATATATAATAATTATTTCCATATGAACGTATGTAACTGTCAATTCCAGAATTACATATAGGTATAATAGGATAATATTATATTTGTATATTATATATATATATATATATATATATATATATATATATATATATATATATATATATATATATATATATATATATATATATATATATATATCGTACATCATATATAGTTATATGGATAAGATTTATAAATGATATATATATAATTGGGTAGAATAATTTAATTATATATATTAATTTAAAAATAACTTATTAAAAGGTTTGAAATGATATAATAAATTATTTTAAAATTATTTGGCAGATTGTAATGTCGCAAAAGTCTCCTTACATTTAGTAATTTGTATTTGTAATTATGAAATTAATTACCATATATAAAAATAGTCTATTAAAGGGCATGATATTTATTTATTTATTTATATAATAATAGTAATAATAATAATAATAATAATAATAATAATAATAATAATAATAATAATAATAATAATATAATGCTACTATAACGAATTAGCCTTACAAAACGAATTATTCACATACAGAAACGCGGAATCATGCATCCTATTAGCCTTAACGGATTATTATTACTATAATTAGTATGCATGTGTAATTCATGGTATTTAGTATGCAGGAATTATTATTCATTTGTTACTATGCACGAAAATCATGCAATAGCTATTAGTATTAATATTTAGTATTTCATAATTAAATTAAATCATCCTTAATTTGCACCCTTGATTACATAATTTGGAACGCAAATTATTCATTTATAATTCATTTGCACAAATTCATAGTTATAAATACCTCATTGGTCATGCTTCTCATTCATTTGCAATCCTCTTTCTATACTTTTCAATTTTCATACATTAAACTTTTCAACTTTTCAATATGGCTCCCACCTTCAATCTACTTAACCAAATCATTGCTACCTCCACGAATTGTGCGATACAAGTTCGCCTAATCCGAATGTACGAGTCAACATTCAACAATAACACCTACAATTCTCATACTTTGGAGTGTGTGTTTCATGTTTCTAAGGTATATTCGTCACTTTTAGTATAGATATATATAGATTATCTTTTAGTCTATATATATCTCTAATTTCATTGCAAAATTAAACAAAATATATAATAATTATTAGGTACAGTAGCTTGCATATTATATATATATATATAGACGCACTCAGGTGCGAATAAGTGCACCGGAAGGAAATGCGAACGAATCAGCGCGTGACACGTGTCTAGATCTAATAACTTAAAAAAAATGCGGTGGCATTTTCGTAAATAATTGAACATCGAAGTGCAAGTAAAATCTCTTATAAGTGCACCTATTTTCACCTATAAGTGCATGTAATTTTGCCTTGTTAGCATTCACTTTCCGCAACCATTCATGCACCTGGGTGTGCTTATAACTATATGTGCAACTATTTATAACTATAGGTGCAACTACTTATAACTATATGTGCACCTACTTTCACCTATATGTGCATGTAATTTTGTCTTGTTAACATTCATTGATCTGAGTTCAGCGGGTAGTAATACTCCTGAAAACCACTCGCAAACATTCATACACCTAGATGCAACTACTTATACCTACATGTGCAACTACTTAGAACTATAGGTGCAACTACTTAGAACTATAAGTGCAACTAAGTATTGATGCTCAGTGTAAATTTTTACTTGCACCTATAATACATTTTACATGCACTTGTAATACATTTTACTTGCACTTCGATGTTCAATTATTTACGAAAATGCCACCGCATTTTTTTAAAAAATCAGTGTTTCTCATCCATTAGATCTGGACACGTGGACGAACAGAATCCATTCCTATTTCGCGCCTGGGCGAGCCGTTCGCACCTGAGTGCAACTCTATATATATATATATATATATATATATATATATATATATATATATATATATATATATATATATATATTCAACATAATTTTAGTATATAGAATATTAATACTTTCCATATTTTATTTCCATTAATCATTTACCATTGATAATTACTAGGCTAAAAAATACACAATATTCGTGAGGATTTATTTGGTTTCTATCTATTTTTAGTGCAACATTTATTTTTTAGCCAATCAAAATTAATTACTCCAGTAGGCATATTTGTTTTCCCATAAAATATTTATGTTTATGGGAATAATTATGGTTAGCCATTAATGACTCCTTTCTCAATGAGCCTTAACTTAAGATTAAAGTTACAAATAAAAGGGTGGCAGAAGACACTAAGAACATTCCATCAAAAAACATAAAGGGTAAGCATTACGATTACAGACCATGAGGAAGATTACATCTTCATGCACCATGCGGTCAAAGAGGAAACATTATAATCAAAACAAAGGTATTTCATTCTCATTTCAAAAACATAAATATAGTAGAACATATTTTGTAGTTATCATGTAGTCAATGATCTGTCTTTTTATTAAACTGTTAGCACTAAAAACCACTAATCTTTTGGTGAAAATGGTGGTTCGCCTATGTTTTCTCTTTTGTATTAACCCAATAGTCGCGTGAAATGTTAGGAAACTGTAATAAGATTTAGAAAAATTACATCAACACCAACATGCACAACCATAAACAATATGTTCCGGGATAACCAGGCTGCTACGTCTACGTACATTCAACTAAAAAGTACTCAGAAAATTATAATAGATCTATACATCAACAACCAACATGGTATATACCACGAAATTTTCAATAATTTGTAATTTTGTCACTCTTATTTTTCTATATTGTATGTTAAAGTAATTTCTTTATTGTTTCTATTTTCCATTTTATATTTCCGTTCCAACTTTTT